TATGAGGTATATCTTAAGCGAAACAAGAGTAACTGTAATAATTATTTTTTGTGGAACAAATTCCATTAACTAAATAAATTTGTTTACTTATTCCCTCAAAAAAAATGATGACGTCACCTCAAAATATTGTTAAATAACTCTCAGTTGAAACGTTCGTGTCTCATGCTCATTTATGTTTGATTTAATAAGCCACTATTACAGTTTTTTCGGAAAACTGTGTAATGGATTTCTTAAATATTAATTACAAGAATGCATTTTGACTTTGTGATAGATTTCATGCTATCAAATATCAAGATCACGCATAGAGGAAAATTGCAGCTACCTCAGGATTCAATCCTGGGACCGCGATATATTAATGTCATTGTAAAATAGGTTCACGCTAATACTCTTATGTTACATCAGATGACGTTAAGATCTTATACAGAAATTTCATGAAATGAGGATTGTTTAACATTGCAAAGTATTCTTGTACAATTTCTCCGCTGGGGTAATCATAGTGTATTTCTTGTTAGTTCCACTGAGTGTTATATCTTATAGTAATAGAAATACACAAAATTCTATGCAAGTATAACATTTAAGGTAAGTTTATTTTTTCTAATCATAATAATCTTCGATTTATTGTACGATATGAAAGTAGAAATAACTTTGATACCATCTTTTGCAAAGACTGCTTAGAGAGATGACTAGAAACAAACAAGGATATCCATTGAGCAGAAAGAGAGTTGTGATGGGACATCATAAAGTCAACCCTGCGAAAAATTGCAACACTAAGGTTTAAAACAAATCCCCCGGTCTTAAGAGCAAAATTCGCAGAACAGCAAAAATCAAATATCATTGCGCATTCCCGAGTTTACAATACATGTGTATCAGCTTACTATCAAAGAGTTGCAAATCACCATTCGCGCATCCGTAAAATGGGCCATCCTACTTAATATCACGCCACGCCCAAACTAAAAAGCTCTAAGATGGGAGAAAACATCCTGACGCATAAATTTTCAGAGACGTCGAAACAAAGAAAACTATTTCCGAGCACACAGATGAGCAAGAAACCCTCTAACTAGAAAACGTGGGCGATGAAATATAGCCCAAACAACGCACTCTAAAAACCACCTATAAAGAATGGCGTAGTACGTCACGGACTTCCCGTAATATGACCGAAGCGACTCTTCATAGAGTCCGGGACCTAAGGGACAATTTTTGCGATGGCCACCAGTAGAAATTCCGATATCAAATTTAGATCCAAGCTTAAGATTTATTATTTTATGAAATAATGTGGGTCGAAACTTCTGCATCTAAATTTAACTTGGATGCCCACGTACACATTTGTTTTATCATTTTTCCATTCGAATAATTGATAGAAAACAGAAGAAAAGAAACACAAACCAGAACTGACCTGAAGCTACACTTTTTAATAAAATTTAAATGAAATAAATTTGTCGGTTTTGTTATCTTGAAATATTATGTATATGTAAATGACCCTTCCTCTACAAAAACGCATTATATAACCATATGGTTCAAACTTGGTTAGTCAAAATTCCAGTATAGCAGTGCACCACCAGGAAAACAACACAAGAATTTACAAATCGAAGTTGGAAAACTTCTGAAATAATTATGATATATAGGTACTCATGCACAAACTCGTTTTGATAGCGTTTCTTTTTTGAAACATTTATACAGCGAATAGTAGATATCGTCATTCAATTAATACATACAAAATTGGGAAAAATTTTGCGCCAAGCAACATGGCCGGGGGCTTGGAAACCAACAAAAATTTATCTTTCTGGCAAGTATATAATGAACTAGAAATAAATAAACTTTAACAACTGTATCAGACATAAACTGTAAAATATATGTATACAGGCTGATTCAGCGTGAATGACGAATTTGACCTATCCGGATAGGCACTCCAAAATATATTTTTCTTCTGTTCCTTGATTCATACTTAGTAGAAGTCAAAAAATATCATGAATCCAAGTTTGCATACTTATGTCACTGTCAATTTTGAGGATTTGACAATTATTTCCAAAAATGCCAAGATATTCGTTTACCAATGCCAAGAAAACGTGCATCTGGTGGTGGCGGCAAATTTGTATGCCCAGAGATATCCTGAACGTTGACATCCCACAGATAAAATTTTCAATTTTATTTATTATTATTATTATTTCAGTGATGAGGTAAAATTTTCCAACAATGGCAATTTAATCAAACACAACTTGCATTATTATGCAGAAGAAAATCCGTCATAGATTCGTGAAACTCCTTTTCAGAGAATTATTACCATCAACTTTTATTTTAAATGTAATACGTGACACTTTTTCTTGACGTTTTTAAAACCACAACTTCGTGGATTTGAGATATTTTTGAAATTCTACTGTAAATCAAGGAATAAATGAATAATGTATTGCCGGTTGCCGCTAACCACAAATTACATTCGTCATTTAAGCGAATCACCCTGTATATACAAAACTCACTTGACATACACCTTGTAAAACTTTTATGACTTAAGCGGCTTAAGCCAAAGCACCCTTATAAGTAGAGAGCGGATTTTATGAAATTTGCATATCCGTTATTTTTTGCATATAAGTCTTGATATTTAATATGTGAACGAATCATGCTAATTAAAAACGAATACAGCTATAAAAAAATTGCATATTTGCATATATTTGCCTTCTGCTGCATATTTCACGTAACGGGTGCATATTTTGCATTTTTATCAATTTTTGTACCAATTTGAAAAAAAAAAGATTGTTATTCTAACGGCATGTATCTAGAAAGACGAAATTTCATTAATCATATTGCAAATATTGTCCTGATGTTCAAATAACTAGTAAAGGTTTGGGTTTTATGGTAGTTTGGAGAATCCATTGGGTGTTAAGCCATTCTTCCAGGTAAATTTGGGCCCTAATTACTTTTGGAAATACCGTTCATTCCCAATATTTTTGTTCGTTACTTAAGTGTATTAATGGTATGTGTTATGGTGGTTGAAGGGACGTTACCCTATTATTTTTCATCGTGAGTTTGCATTGAAAGCATTTAAAGCGATACATGTGTGTTAATATGTCGAAGATAACTCAAATTAATTTATGGATTAAACCTTTTCCTGAACGTATTCTTCAAGAAGGAACTGTTTTGTCGCGTCTGCTCTAAACCGGTAAGGATTTTTATATCTGTGGACGTAGTACACAGTTTTTCTATACCAAATATACTTTAGGATCATCGGAAAACTTTTGGTTAGAATATTTCGAAAAATATTTAAAAATAAATTGTTACCAAAATAGTAATTAAATAGTCGATTACTACTAATTTTGTAATTTGTAAATAAATTTAGTTCGGTTATTACGCTTTTTTTTAGTTTTTGGAGCATATGCAGCTGCATATCTCTGCATATATTAAGAAAGTTACTGCATATTTGCATAAATTTGGTGCATATCATATGATCATATTTCCCAAAATTTTGCTGCATATTTTCCGCTCTCTACTTATAAGTCAAACTGTATAACTTAACTTAGTTCACATATACCTAGTAAAACTTTACACCCCCAATATGGCAACAATTGAGTAATAATCCCTGCGGTTCGGGTCCATTATAAGGGTGGTTCGGCTTAGACCGCTTAAGTCATAAAAGTTTTACAAGCTAATGCAAATGTCCTTCGTAAAACAGTACTAATATTGTTTTATTCGTATACAAACAAAAATATTACGCAATATCTGCGTAACAATGATCACCTTACGTAGACAAGTTGTGTAATCCTTTTGTCACAATGATACTCATAAATTCGGTACAAGGTACGTCATTTTTAAGATGTCACTCTGTAACAGTGACTCAGTGAATTAAACAGTTTTATCCAAACAGTTGCATCACATTTAAAACAAAAACATTGCAAAATAAGTTTACAAACAATATTTGTGGAGTTAACAACGTATTCTCTACTGCATTTAGTTGTGTCGATTAACAATTACTTACTTATATTTACTTTCTGAGGTATGGTCAGGACAGAAGTTGTGCTACAAATTGGGGTTTATCGTAAATGAATACGAGATACAACTAACAAAATTTTGTCCATAATAAGGTATTGCTTCAAAAGAATGAGTACTCCTCCAAAATTTTGTGACTCACTCTCACTTAAAATGTTAAGTTATCTACGGGTATGAGTGATTCAAAGCTATTATTTTTTACTTCATAGAGATTTATGCATCAAATTTTACACACACATTAATTACTAACACTTGTTTGCGCACTGCTTTTCATACACAAACAAATTTATTTTATCAGGTGATGCCTGACACTAAGTACAGCAATGTTATAACTAGTATTACTTACATTGCACACGATAAAATTAATAAACTTATGCTCACCAAAAAATTTGATGGCAGCATTTCATTGTCTCTGAGGAGTTTATTTTAATCGAGCATCTATACCTAAGCTATTTTCTAGGAAAATAATTAGGTACACTGATATAAGTTCGAAACTACTACAATTGAAATTTTAATTGTAGCTAAGATCATCATGAAGGTAATAACTAAAACGTCAACAAAATCTGGGGCTCCAAAAAATTGAGTCTCACTTCAAATTTGTCTGCGGCGTGACATCTCTACTATCTGTTGTTTAATAATCCCTACCTACTTTTAACTTTATATTTACTAATAAAGTGGTTATTCTACAAAAAAGTACAACATTTAGATATATTTAAAATATTGATTTTTTTATTTTAGAAAAACATTTTGTTTCTAAAAAGAACTTGCTAGTAACTAGCTAAGGTAATGGCAAATCCTCTAACACCAGTTAAAGGTTCCGCATTTTCAGATAGAGTGATCACCTAAATTAACTGATTTTTTTTTTATTTTTTACTACTTATAGAAAAATTGTAACATCATTTTAAAAAATATTTATCAGCAATGTGATCTGAAATGATGTGATATTGTTTGCATGTTATTAGTATGCATATTTTTTTAGTTACAATATCAATATATAGGTATATAGGTATGCAGAGAAAATTAAAAAATCTGTATACTTATATTAGACCATGTTTAACAACATATTCTACAATGTATTGTATTCTACTTTTGAAAATCAATTTGTCATTATCTTTCATTTCATTTACAAAACTTTCACCAAAATCTTTGCCCATTTCGACTGCTTCAGCTACATCCACAACGTCTTCTTTCCCAATTGCAGTAATTCTTAGTAACATACTTGCAAACATAATTCCATATTTGCAGTATTTTTTCCAGTCATCCATAAGTTGATTTAACGGATACAACACATTCGAATCAATTCCAAATTCGGCTAAATGCTCAGAAAAATGTTTATAGTAAACATTTAAAACATCTTCCATATTATGAATATCGTTTTCAGATATACAACAAAACAAAAAATATGATAAATCACAAATCAAAACCGCCGGTCTTGCTAGTTGCCAGTCAAGAATAACAACTTCTGTCGGTATTGACTTATCCTCATCCTAAAAAAAATTAATTTTTATTAAACTATAGTTTATAGTGTAGCAATATTTACCTCGTATTTATACATGAAATTGTTGCTCCAACAGTCGCCATGAAGAATAACATTCATAGCTTCTGCGTTTCGAATTTCCTCAAGAACACTTTGGATGTTATCACCCAGACTTTTCCACTTTAGTAATGTGCTCTCATCCAAATCATTTTTGAGAATTTCGTAAGCATCTTCAACGCACTTTTTCATAGTAGTCAGACCTGGCCCACTTTTTGCGAAACTTTTCAAATTTTCTCGCAGTGTATTTACAATTTCTTGGTATTTCTCTGGTTCTTGTTGCTTAAACGCAATCGATGTAGCATGGTATTTTCCATACGCTTGCATCACCAAATCAATGTGTTTTCTTGTCAGAGGTTTTTGCCTGGGCCATAATTCATAACCGATACTTTTCAAATTTTCAAGCACTACCACTTCCCTGTTTTCTAGCGCCAAGGTTCCGTAAGATTTGGGGATATTCTTAAACACTTCACTTATTCCTCTGTCGTGTTGAAATTGTATAAAAAGGGGTAAAATTTTATCGTAAATATACATTTCGTTTATAAAGGTGTCTATAAACCTTCGATCTTCTCGCAACGCCTGGCTTGATTTACTACATTTCAGTACCAAATCGTATTCTTTTGTTGATTCGTTTTCGGCGGTTCCAGCAGCACGGGCAAACACTACGTCACCTATGTAACCATCACCCTTCTCTGTTTTTCCTGATATTTGTACGGAGAGATTTTTCAAATTTTCTTTTTCTAAAATTATGTCCAACCAGGATTTTATTTCAGACTCGAGCGTGTTTTCTGTCACCATTTTTAAAGCAAACTTCAACGGTGAGGAACTATGGACAAGTAATTTATTTCTGTGAAGCATGAAATGCATATATATACATATATATACCTACACCTTTACTTGCAATTTTAACACGAGATAAGATTACTACTTTTTAAATAAAAGATAAAAAAGACGTCATACAGTTTGTAATATAACAACTATAAAATTACGTAATACAAAACTGTTTTTTAATGTAATTTAAATATAAAACGGTAACTGCACATATTTTTTGCATATTTATAACCTACAAACTTAACTTAACAGTAGATAATTACCAGTGATATGAAAACACAAATACTGTTCTTATAATACGATGTAAAATTTGAAAATTCCATTTTACAAACCTGGACTTTTCGACCAAGATAATAATACACAATTTACCTTTGGTACGCACTTTCTACCTAAAAAAACACGAAGGTCATTTTACGTTGAACATCTCCTGATAAGATGTTCTACGTAAAATGACCTTCGCACTCTACCTTCGCAGATGTCTCTTACAAAGTTCACTTGTTGCAAAGATAACATATCGCGTTCATGAGATAACTATACAATTTTGGGTAACCTTGCATCACTGATAACAAATAAATCACAAATTTAGCAGAGCACTCAACTTCCTAGGTCTCAGAGCGTATTTTCCAAAAAAGACTTCCTTTACGATTTTTTAATGACCTGTTAACTTTTGATGCATACAGAGTGTTGAAATAGTCTGGTGAAGAGAGATTACGCATTCCCTATGAATATATACAGTGTGTTACGAGGGCTGTCCGGCGGAAAGTGAGCCTAGGGTCGAAAGACTGACTTTTGAAATCTATTATATTTTTTACTTTGCAATATAATCTCTATCTATTTCAATACACTTTTCACATCGACCGTGCAATTATTTTATTCCGCGAAAAAAATATTCCGAAACTTGGTCTGCAAAATGCTCATCTACAGCTGACTTCATTTGGTTTTCATCGAAAAATCTGCTACCACGTAACGCCTTTTTTAAATCTTTAAACAAATAAAAATCGCTGGTAACCAGATCTGCACTGTAGGGTGGATGATTAATTTCCTCGAAGCCCATATCTCGTACAGCACGCCTTGCAACTTGAGCTGTGTGACTGGCGCATTGTCCTGCAATAGGAGAATTCCTCGGCTAAGTTTGCCCCTGAGTTTTTCAAGAATAGCTTGTCGCAGTTTGATTATTAAGTCAGCATAATATTGACTGTTCATCGTTCTTCCTCTTGGAAGGTAATCCACCAGAAGTATTCCTGCGCTATCCCAGAATATCGTTGCCATAAGTTTGGTTGCCATTCTTTGAACCTTAAACTTGAGCGGTGGCTTTTCTCCCTTTTTTATCCATTGCATTGACTCTTGTTTGGATTCTGGATCGTACTGATAAATCCATGTTTCATCACCGGTTACAATACGATGACAAATCGCATCCAAATCATTCTCACATAAATGAAGAAAATCATGACAACTTTCCACCCTCCGTTCCCGATCTAACGGCGTTAGCATTTTGGGTACCCAACGCGCGCTCACCTTGCTCATTAACAATTTGATTATGAAGAATTTGTCCAACACTATCTTTACTAATCTTCAATTCCTCTGCTATCTGACGAACTCGAATTCGACGGTCTTCGAGAACTAATTGTTCTACTTTTTTGATATTTTTGTCGGTAACGACAGTGCAAAAGGGCCCTGGGTGTTCATCGTCTTTAATTAACTTTCGTCCTTCTTTGAACAGTCGAGTCCACCTTTTGACTGTTGCATATGATGGAGCACATTGTGGATAAGTGGCCAATAATTCTTCATTAATTTCTTTGGCACATTTACCTTTTTTTACAAGGTATTTTATCACAGTACGATATTCCAATTTCCAAAAAGACAACGTTTCACTAGACATGTTGTGGTTTGTTTGACGTTTTCTCAATAACCGTTACATCAATCGTAACCAGATTTGAGACATCAACTACTAACATTATGTGTGTATACATACAGTCGAAGTTTTTTTTTTAAACACCCATCTTCTAGACGAGGCTCAATTTCCGCCGGACAACCCTCGTATATACAGCAAACTCGTAAAATTGTCAGTTTGCTCGATTACTGAAACGGAACACTTCATTTTTGAGCTCATCCCACTCGAAAATATGAGAATATTCAAATTTCATCACCCTGGAAAACCAAAAACTGATGAATGACGTTACCGATATCGAAACTGAAACAAAGAAAGCTGCAACACTATAAATCATGAAGTTTGAATTCACACCCAAAAGGAAACAACGGAGAACCGTTGATTTTATTTGTTTTGTTTTTAACACTAATAAATTAATAAATCTTGAATCTTACCTTTCAACCTCAAAACTGGCCTGCGGCTAAAATACTATTGAAGATAACCACAAACGATGTATTCTTTCTTTAAATGCGTAAAGGGGAATTAATATAAAGCGTCCAAGAAAGCTCAAATCGACTAATGTCTTCAGTATAAAAGTGTATATACGCATGATCAATTGATCACACACAACTGCATCAAGTGAATCTATTCAGGAAAAACATATTCCAAAAACAAATTGTAAACCTAATAAACTTATTAACAAACTCGTTTCCATTGTGACCATTGCGCACAACAAAGTCTAAAGCCTTAAAGTCAGATTTAGTATAATTTTGGAAATTTCTTTCTACCTTATAAAATTCTATTTGGTAATAACGAGAACGACAGTAGTACAATAGCAAGAGATATTTACAACTTAAAGCTTAAGACTGCAACAAGATCGTGTACAACTTCAGGTTTAGTAAGAATAGTACTATCAATAATATTATAATTAAAGAGAACGGGAGCTACTTTTTTCGTAAAAGTCATTACATAAAACTTATATTCAGTATCTGATTATTATTTTTACACAAATTAAAGATTCTAGCAAAACATTTTTGTAACCGTAATAAATCACCATGGGTATTTATAACACTATAAATGTTTAAGTCATCCGCAAATAAAACTGCATGCACATCTACAAATTCTACGATATCATTTACGAACATATGAAAAGTAAGGGCCCAGGACCAAACCCTAAGGAACACCCGTTTTTTGATTAATGAATTCAGATTTAAATCCATTAAGTTTGACAAACAAATAACGCTTAGACAAATACGAACCTAGTAATGAAATTAAAGACTATGAAAACCCAAACCACTTCAATTGCTGTAGTAACAGGTGATGGTTAATTTTATCGAATGCCATTGTCATGGATAAATGACTAATAAATCGGTACAGATAGCGTCAACCTGACGAATCGCACAAAAACGGAGTTATGGAGGCAAGATTAATCTCAGTTGAACATCCTCTGATAAATCCATGTCAGTGCGTGCAAAGCATTTGTGGGCAACTGGTCTATAGTTTCCTAAATTGGATTTAACATCTTGTTTGTTGTTACAGGGGGCAAATTCTTGAAATTTTCCACTGATAGGGAAACTTGCAAAATTTTATGCAAAAATTAAACACAGTAGTCAATGGTCTCACGAAAACATTCATACAACTTCTTACAAAAAACGTCGGTATTTAATCAGGACCACTACATTTTACAGCTTTGTTCAAACTCGAACAATTTAAATCTATCGACTATCTCTTGTGGATCACCCAAATTAATACAGTTGTTGGTCATACCTGATCGAATATTAAGAGAGCTTTTTCTTAATTTTATAAATGACCAGAACACCTTTAGGTCAGACTTAATGTAATTATTCATTTGTTTGTAGATAACACTTGCTCTTCTCCCTTATTTTCGATTTTAATTATGTTCTCAAACTTTTGAATAGTAACTAATCATCTAGAGAATTAGATTTTCTATAGTTTTGTTAAGGTCGGATTTTTATATTTTAACCCCTTAATGAGATCAATATCACTATCAACCTAGATCGGATAACTAGGATTGGCCTAATGCATTACCAATGTCAAAATATTCACCAAGAAAAGACCAATTTACTGAAAGCAAGCGAACAAAAGTTACATTTTCTAAAGTTGTAGTCAGATGCAAATGAAATCGGAAATTCTTTTTGGTGCATTTTAAAAATGCCAACTTCAATTTAGAGGTTAATGGTTACTTCCTTTAAGAATTTTGTGATTTTGAGACTACACTGATTTTGTTGCATTGTATTTAAGTATTTAAGTTAAGTGGAAGATAAAATGTTTCTGGATAGTTCTAGTAACTAAGTTTATCTATTTTTTTAATCAACAAGTTAAAGATAGTAAAGAAATATCAATTACTTCAAAACTTTCTTGGAAAATTTTGCCGAACACATTATCCATTTCGTAACAAATTCTAAAGCTAGTAAAATATGTGGTACGTACTCCATTTAGATCTTGACGTTTATCACTAACAAAGTACAGAACAATAACACAGATAACAAAAAATATAAACATGATATTTTATAAGCATTTACACGTGCGGTATGAGTTATTTACATTACAAGAGCCAAAATTAACGAATAATCTAACCAGCAAGAATACGGCTCGACGGTACAGCCGGAGCTGCATGTAAGCCAGTTATGCTACTCGGCTTTGGCGTGAGAAATTTACATATATTTTGTACTGCTTTTCTAAAATTAAGTTTTTTAAGAAATACTAATTTTAGTAATACTTATTATCAATATTTAGGCGAGTATTAACTTTGTCACTAATAAGTGTTAAATGTCACGTTCATAAAAAAAATGTACCCCAGTATTTTAAAATTTTACTAGAAGAGACAACTGCAAATTTGTTGCCAAATAAATTTGCAAACGGTACGGATGATGGACTACAGTGTTACTAACATTTTAAACTGAAATTACGTGAGCAGAATGTTTTTTATATTAATTATTATTTTTGACACATCAATGTATTTTGTAATTCGTGGTTTGTAATATGCGGCTCCATAGATCTTACAAGGAAAATTACGGTTCGCTAATATCAGATACTACTTTTCATTTTCAGATACGGAATTCGGCAGTACAAAAAAGTATTTAATAAGTTACAAAGCCGTTTAATTTAAATAAACAAGTATGAATACATCATATTAAATTATGGTTAGCAGCATATTCCACAATTGGTAGAATTCTCCGCTTATAATTTTCTTTGTCTCTGATTTCATTTGCAAAGGTATCGGTCATCTGCTTTCCACTTTCAGCGACTTCAGCGATATCCAGAACCTCATCTTTATCTGTCGAAACAATTTTCATTAACAAACTTGCCATCAAAATGCCGTATTTACAGTGTTGTTTCCATTCAGCCAAAAATTGATCTAAGGGATATAACGTTTCTGGTTTTTCTATCTGTAATTGTACCAAGTGACCAATAAATGCTGTATGATACCTAACCAGAATGTCATCCAACTCTTCGAAATCATCTTTAGACAGACAAGCAAACAAAAAGTATGACAAATCCACAATCGGAGAAGCGTATCTTGACACCTGCCAATCCAAAAATGCAACCTTCAAAGGAATTTTCTCTTCGCCTGACTAAAAGTACAAATTTCATTAAAAACGAACTGCTAAAATTTATATAAAAGTGTACCTCATATAGAAACATGAAATTATTATTCCAGCTATCGCCATGCAGAATTACCTTCAGTGCTTTTGAGTCATTCATCGTATGATCAAAAACGGTTTTAATCTGATTTTTGAGCCCCTTCCATCTCAGCAAAATGCTTTCATCCAAATCATTTTTTAATAACTCAGATGACTGATCTATTGGTGTTCCAAAAAGGCTCTCCATATTCCCTGTCTTTGTAAATTTTTCCATAATATCGTTGACGGCATCGACGAAAATTTGAAATTCAGTTGGTCGTTGATGTTGTACAACCAAGGACGTTGCATGATATTTACCATATTCTGTAACTACCAAATCGATATGTCTTCGTGACAATGGTTGCTTCCTCGGCCATAGTTCGTAGCCCTTGCTTTTCAAATTGTCCAAAACAATAACTTCCATATTCTCTCCGGTAAAAGAGCCGTAACATTTTGGCACGCTGTTATATGGAGCTTTCACCCCTTTGTCTTTTTGGTGTTGAAAAAAACACGGCAAAACTTTCTGGTACATGAATATTTCGTTCAAAAAGGCTTCCTTCACTGGCGATGTTTCTCGCAAAGCTTGGCTTTTTTTGCTACACTTTAAAACAAGATCATAATTCTTTGATGACTGATTATCCGCAGTTCCTTCAACCAACACAAAAACTACATATATCACCCATGTAACCATCTCCTTTTTCCGAATTCCCTTGTATCTTGACTGATATATCCTTAAAATTTTCATCTTTTAGGACAATCTTCAACCAAGATCGTATTTCGTTTTCAGAACTATCGTTTGTCGAACCCATGCTGCTATCACTTAAACACTAATTACTTTTTAAAACGAATGAATTTATATATTTGAGAACAAATAAACCCGTGGTATTAACAATGATAAGTAGTAAGTACTAACGCTTAATTGCTAGTCTCATTGTTTTGAGATAAAAAAAATCAATTATAACTGCCATATGACTTCACTTCACTATGTGTCTTCTAATAAGACACTTATCTTCTGATAAAATTTTATAACTACCTATAAAAAAATCATGATGAGCTAGTTATATTTTTGCTACATAAATAGTACAAGTTCTATAAGAAACATCATGCAAACGGTAAAGGCCATTGGGCTTAAAAAAAATGCAAATTGTTAAAAATAGTACTCCCCTACATTATTATACGTATTTCACGTCAACAAAACTATTCAACGAAATCGATTTCTTTAATATGAAAAGGCATGATTTTATGCATGCGTGTTTTGAGTATATAAGTATATTTTTAAATGTCGTAATTACTGTATAGCAACAGATCTAAGTCATATACGTATTGGTTGCGATAAAATTAAATGAAATGTGCTTATACGTCACCAAGTGGAAGATAAAATCCTTTGAAAATTTGGTTTTGTATCGGTGGTACTACTGCACATTATACTCTCAGCTGACAACTCTGTCACTTGTCAGTGTCAAAAATTAGACACGTGCTGAAATTGAATTAACCATGTGCAATATTATTTCACTTTTTGTTTTGTAAAAGGTGCTTATCTAATCTTTTTTATCAAGCACCTAGTGATATTTTCGTTACAAAACTGCTGCATTCTGAATTATCCTAGTAAAAATAATCTGCCACCGATAAAAACATGCATATACTTACCACGTATCCAAACATTAAATTTCGTTGAGTACAAATACGAAATACTGAACTCCCAACTGACAAAAAATAATTTGTTAAAGGTTATGTTGACTCGGAAATACGTCAAATTAAGGACAGTGGTGCCATCCAAATATGTTAGCTAATGTGTCAACTCTAATTCAGTTTATTGTCAATCGCAAGATATAACAACAAAGCACTAAAGTTTGCTTAGCAAGTTATAGTGAAGAACATGAAGTGGACACTGTAACCATTATAACGATAATAATAGATAATAGAGTGTTTGCGCAAGAGACTTTTTCGCTTATAAAAACACGTCGTTATGGTTATAATCATATCGACCAATGTAATGTATACCGTATACACCGATTCCTTACGCTATTTATAAAAGTTGCTCTCTAGTATGGGAACTTTTCAACAAGACCTTAGAATTACATAAACCTAAAATTACTGAGCATGCATCTTTTATTTGTAAACGAAATAGGCACAAATCATATTAAATTATATTTTGCAGCATATTGCACAACTGGTTGAATTCTCCGCTTATAATTGTCCTTGTTCCTAATTTCATTTAACAAGGAATGACCAAATTTTTTTCCACTTTCAGCGGCTTGAGCTGAATCCACAATTTCATCTTTTTCTGTCGAAACAATTTTCATTAGCAAACTTGCCATCAAAATGCCGTATTTACAAGAACCACGCCATTCCGCCAAAAACTGATCAAAAGGATATAACGTATCTGGCTTTTCTATCCCTAACTGAGCCAAATGATTCACAAAAGAGGTATGGTAAGTAACTAAGATTTCATCCAACGCTTCAAAACCATCTTTAGAAAGACAAGTGAACAAAAAGTATGATAAATCGACAATTGGAGAGTCGTATTTTGAGAGTTGCCAGTCCAAAAATGTAACCTTCAAAGGAACTTTCTCTTCTCCTGCCTGAAAATAAAATTTATTGAAAGGTAACTATTTAAATAATATATAGTATAATTATACCTTATGTATAAACATGAAATTGTTGCTCCAGCAATCGCCATGCAGAATTACCTTCAGCCCTGTTCTATTTTTCACTGCATCTTTCAAAATGCTTGTAACTTGATTTTTTAAATCCTTCCACCGTAACAAAATACTATCACCCAAATCATATTTCAGCACCTCAAGAGACTCGTCTATACACTTGTTAAAAATGGCTTGGAGGTCACCCCCCTTTTTTCCAAATTTTTCCGTGACATCTTGAATAGTATCGACCAATTTTTGAAACTCAGTTGGACGTTGATGTTGTAGAGCCAAAGACATCGCATGATATTTACCATATTCCGTCACTACTAAAGCGATGTGTTGTCGTGACAATGGTTCTTTCTTCGGCCACAATTCGTATCCGTTGCTTTTCAAATTTTCCAAAACAATAACTTCGGTATTTTCGTCCGCAAAGGAGCCGTAGAACTTTGGCACGCTGTTAAACGGATCTTTGACACCTTTCTCTTTTTGGTACTGAATAAAATATGGCAGCACGTCTTTGTACATGAATATTTCTTTTACAAAGGCTTCCTGCACGGGCGCTTTTTCTCGCAAAACTTTGCTCTTTTTGCTGCACTTTAAAACAAGGTCATACTTCTTTGACAACTGATTAGCTGTGGTTCCTTCAGCCGATATAAAGACTATATCACCCATGAAACCATCTCCTTTTTCCGAATTTCCTTGTAACTTAACAGATATGTCGTTAAAATTTTCATCTTTTAAGACAATGTTTAACCAAGTCTGTATTTCGTTTTCAGAAGTACTGTTTGTCGAAGCCATGTTAATATGTTCTAAACACTAATTGCTTTTCTAAGTCAAATGAATTTATACGTGCAAACAAATAAATATGTGGTATTCAGTCTGATATGCAATAAGTACTGAAACACAAACGCTCTTCAAGTTTGTCAGATAAGATAAAATCTCACATAACTTCTAACACTATTATTTCACAGTGTCTATCACCAAGAGGTGATTATCTGATAACGTATGTTATTGATGACTAGTAAGTACTCGTTGCACAATCATGCATTAACATTACGCAACCAAATAACAAACTCGCAAATTTTTCAAAAAAAAGAAAAACAAGTATCGACAATAAGCTATGGCAAGCGTAATTTCTTACAAAATTATATTAATGTATCTTATGTACCGGAATCAATGGAAGGGTATTGCAAGGGTTCTCTACTGAGCATATTAAGGTGCTACCTATGTTCAAGTCTTTACATCGTACCTCAAAAATTTATCAACACACTCGAGAATTATATCGTCTGTTACTCGTACACACATGAAAATTGCATTCAGTGTAGAGCGAAAACAAGTAAATCACATGCAGGCCTGGCTAATTATTACTTAAAGGTTGTGTGACGTCAAACTGAGTGCAGCAGTACCACTCGAAGCTTATAACCCCAACTCTAATTAACTTTTTTTTTGATAAAAGAATGTTTGTTATAGCGGGTAATTTATACTGAACACTATTTAAAACAAAAGAAAATTGTAAAACTAATGACGGAAATAGTAATAACCACATAATTTTAAACTTATTTGCTTTTTCAGTTCAAAATATCTCCATCAGTTACAACAAAAAAATCGGCCTGCGTAGCATTTTTTATTGTTGAACGAAACAGACAGAAATCATATTAAATTATGTCTAGCAGCATATTCCACAATTGGTCGAATTCTCCGTTTATAATTCTCCTTGTCTTTAGTTTCATTTAAAAAAGAATGGGTAAAATCTTTTCCACTTTCAGCGACTTGAACGACATCCAAAACTTCATCTTTATCTGTCGACACAATTTTCATTATCAAAGGTGCCATCAAAATGCCATATTTACAACAATCATTCCATTCATTCAAAAACTGATTTAAAGGATATAACATATCTGGATTTTCTATGCCCAACTGAATCAACTGATTTACAAAAGATGTATGATACGTCACCAAAATATCGTCCAAGTTTTCTAAATCATCTTTGGAAATACAAGCAAATAAAAAGTATGACAAATCTACAATAGGAGAAGCATATCGAAACACTTGCCAGTCCAAAAACGCAACTTTCAAAGGAATTTTGTCTTCTCCTGGCTGAAAACATAAATTTTACTTAAAACTAACTACTTAAATTTATGTAGTTGTACCCTATGCAAAAACATAAAATTGTTGTTCCAACAATCGCCATGCAAAATTACCCTAATTCCTGCTGACTCTTTAACCAAATCTTCAAAAATACTTTTAATCTGAGTTTTGAACTCCTTCCACCGTACCAAAATGCTGTCATCCAAATCATCTTTTAACAAATCATACGACTCATCTATAGGTGTTGCAAAAAGGTTTTGTATGTCACTTGTCTTTGCAAATATTTCCATAATATCGCTTATACTGTCGACAAATTTGTGAAACTCAGTTGGTCGTTGATGTTGTAGAGCCAAAGACGTCGCATGATATTTACCATACTCTGTAACCACTAAATCGATGTGCTTTCGTGACAAAGGTTGCTTCTTCGGCCACAATTCGTAGCCGCCACTTTTCAAATTTTCCAAAACAATAACTTCCATATTTTCTCTTGTAAAAAAGCCATAACACTTTGGCACACTATTGAATGGAGCTGCAATCCCTTTTTCTTTTTGGTATTGAATAAAATATGGAAATACTTCTTGGTACATGAATATTTCGTTAAAGAAGGCTTCCTTCACTGGCGATGTTTCACGGAAAGCCTTACTCTTCTTACTGCATTTTAAAACAAGATCATACTTTTTTGACGCCTGATTGTCCGTAATTCCTTCAGCTGACACAAAAACTATATCACCCATATAACCGTCTCCTTTTTCAGAATTTCCTTGTATTTTAACTGAAATATCCTTTAAATTTTCATCTTTTAACGCAAACTTTAACCAAGATCGTATTTCATTTTCAGAACTACTTGTTGCAGCCATGTTAATATCAAGTAAATTTTAATAACTAAAACTAATACATTAAAGTGGAAAGAATTTATATGTTTGTGAACAGATAAGAGTGATAAATAATAATAAACACTACACATAAATGCTAGTCATATTTTAAAAGATAAAATAAATCAGACACAACTTTTATATTATTTCACTTCACTCTGTGTCCTCGACGAGGTGTTTACCGATAAATTTTTATACATGACTTTTAAAAATCCATGGTGAGAAAGCTTATGATAGTTTCCTTCAAAATTACGGCTAACTACTCTAGAACCATGGTAAAAACAATATTGTTTGCTGTACATAAAAACATTCATTTATGCACATACCCAAACGTGAAATTCCACTGGTTTTTTCTTTTTTGAAACATTTCAACATCTACTACAAAAATATTGTTACGATGATCGATAATAAAAATCGGCGTGGGCAAAACTCGACAATTTCTTTCTGAGTAGTACTAATTTTTCACGACTTACCAATGTAGCAATTATGTACAGAATAATTCCGACTCGACGGGAATGGATTTGACAGACTCATTTTTTCTCATTCACTGAACTCCAACTGGCCGTTCCCGGCGATGGTCCGTATTTAAACGCCGCTTTCCAGATTGTTCTGGAGTTTACTATCGAGAAAATTCCCGCGCCTTCTGGCGGGCCGCATCCAGGTTTTTTTTTATTCCAGCGCCACCGTCACTGATGATGAATCACCGAGACCTTCATACTGGAAAACCCATAAGCGTCGTACCGGGGCGGCGTATGGGTTTATTTCGTAATAATATTTAAGGGGTGCTTATCTGACAATTTTTTTAAATCAATTTTTAGAATTTATGGTGAGATACAATCACCAAAATTCTATAACAGTAACAGTGATAATTTTATATTCTTAGAATTATTTGTTTTCCCGTTCATACGCATAAAAAACCTGCCTGAAAATACTGTGCACATATTTTATTGTTAAATGCAATAGGCATAAATTATATTAAATTATGTTTAGCAGCATATTCCACAACCGGTTTAATTCTCTCCTTATAACTCCCCTTGTTCCTAATTTCATTTATCAGGGAATGGCCAAAACTTTTTCCACTTTCAGCGGCTTGAGCTATATCCACAACTTCATCCTTTTCTGTACAAACAATTTTCATTAACAAACTTGCCATCAAAATGCCAAATTTACAAGACTCGTTCCATTCGACCAAAAACTGATTAAGTGGGTACAACGTGTCTGGTTTTTCGATCCCTAATTGGCCCAACCGATTTACAAAAGATGAATGGTAAGTAACCAAAATATCGTCCATCGCATCGAAATCTTCTTTTGATAGACAAGTAAACAAAAAGTAGGACAAATCTAGAATTGGAGAATCGTATCTTGACATTTGCCAGTCCAAAAATGCAACTTTCACTGGAATTTTCTCTTCGCCATCCTGAAAATATCAAATGTATTCAACCAAGGTAACTACTAAATTTACGTAATTATACCTTATGCAGAAACATAAAATTGTTGCTCCAGCAATCGCCATGCAGAATTACCTTCAGTCCTGTTCTCGTTTTTACTGAATCTCTCAAAACAGTTTTAATCTCATTTTTCAACCCTTTCCACCGTGACAAAATGTTATCATCTAAATCATTTTTAAGCACGTCATGCGATTGATCTATAGATGTTCCAAAAAGGATTTGGTGATCAGCCGCCTTTTTTTCAAATCTTGCCATAAAATCTTTGACTCCATCGACAATTTTTTTATACTCGGTTGGGCGTTGATGTTGTAGAGCCAAAGACATCGCGTGATATTTACCATATTCTGTTACTACCAAATCGATATGTTGTCGTGACAGTGGTTCTTTCTTCGGCCACAGTTCATAGCCGTTGCTTTTTAAATTTTCCAAAACAATAACTTCCATATTTTCTTCCGTAAAAGAACCGTAATATTTTGGCACGCTGTTAAATGGAGTTTTGACTTCTTTCTCGTTTTGATACTGAATAAAATACGGCAGTATATCTTTATAAATGAATATTTCATTCAAAAAGGCTTCATGCACTGGCGATTTTTCTCGCAAAGCTTCACTTTTTTTACTGCACTTTAAAACAAGGTCATACTTTTTTGACGATTGATTATCCGTGGTTCCTTCAGCCGATACAAAAACTATATCACCTATATAGCCATCTCCTTTTTCCGAATTTCCTTGCAACTTGACTGATATGTCTTTAAAATTTTCTTCTTTTAACACAATCTTTAACCAAGACCGTATTTCGTTTCCAGAATTATCATTTGCCGCAGCCATGTTAATATCTATTATCTAAATACTAACTACTTAAGTCACATGAATTTCTAGATACGTTTGTGAAGAAATAAAACCGTGGTATTCACTTTGATACGTAATAAGTACTAAAACACAAACGCTTCTCATTTTGTAAGATAAGATAAATCTGACTTAAGTCTATATTATTTCATATTATGGGGTGCTTATCTGACAAATTTTTTAAATTACCTGTAGAAAATTCGTAAATACAGCGCTACTTACATGTTTTTTTTTTTATTTTCAACTTTTCAACAAACTTTATAAACGCAAATATTTTTTTATATGTTTTAGCACCAATATATGTGTTTATTAAATTGAAAGCAACCAATATGTATGGAACATTTTCTGTAACTAGGTCAAGGCTTTCGATTATGCCTTCTTCAAACCTTGAATAAAAAAAGTAGAAAATTATAGTTACCTAAACAGCAGATATCAGGTTATTATCGTAATCAAACGATTCAACTGATGGAACAGAAAAAAAAAGAAAATGCAAGCAAGAGTCAATCTCTTCTGCTCTTTATAAATGACATGCCCAACCATGTCCAAAATAACACGTTTTCTAGTTCTCACAATTTGTAAAACTTGATAGTATGTTTCAACACAGGAGAAATTGTGCGCCTAGACTATCAATAAATAAAAACTGAATAGAACGAGAAAAACGAGCATTAATTGCTTTTTGTGTTGTCTCGTCATGCTAACATTAAAAACAAACGGTGCATTTTTTTAGATTATGACACCAACTTAACTTGAGAAATCCTTATTTCTGAAATTTGTGCAAAATTTTACAAAGTGGAATTTTATATTAACAATTCTTATTAACGAAGTATCATACGAAGTTTTTCGAAGTGCACCTGTTACGTGATTTTAAAAAGTGGTCATAGTTGCCACGCAAAACGAATATTTTGCATATAACGTCGTCAAAATCATAGCTAATCTTAATATTATGCAGTAGCGGCTCGTGACCTTTTGAAATGGGGGGACACAATTTGATTGATGAGTTAAATATGAAAATATAATACAGGTTGTTATTACCAAGTAATAGACGAAATTGTGTGACGGAAATAAATACAAAAATACACACAATAAAAATAAAGAAGGATTTCTCCACATATCTTTTCGTCTTCGGTCAAAATTTTACGTTCATGGCATCTAAAAGTTCATTTTCGACAGTTTTAGGGGTTCCTTTAAAAACCGTTGCTTCTTTCAAATGATCTGAAAGTCCAATTCAGCCATAAAATCAATCAGACCTCGAAATATACCTGGATTTTGTGACTCTCTACTTTCGTCATGTCCACGTAAAGCAAATTGAAACACTCCACAAAATTTTATGCACATTATCAATCGGCGTAATATATGGCGATTTTTGTTGACCCTTGCGTTATGTGCCCGAATATTATTAATATAAGCGGTGTGCAGTTGTTTCCGAATGTCTGTATTACCGAGAAGATTATCCAAGAATATTTATCAAACGTGTTCGCGCAGAATGAAAATTAAAACCCGCGATACTAACTCAATCCTCCAGAGCACGATCGCAACGGGCTCACAATACAGTTGTATCAGGCGCATATCAGGCAGCTACGACGTGTAGTTTCCATGACAACGATGTAAACAAAACATCTAAATCAGCCATGATTCGGTCCATTCTAGATATCAAATATTTAATTTAAATTATGTAGTGACTCACGAAGTCACTCTCTCCGTAATTTCTTTCGGTAAATATATATCACCTGCAGCCTGCATAAAAAACTGGCACTTTTCCTCCTAAATGAATAGCAAAGGAATTTTAAAATCACGCACAAGTGCAAATAATGTAGCCATTATTTATTAATAAATACAAACGCATATATCATATTAAATTATGTTTAGCTGCATATTCTACAATTGGCCGAATTCTCCGCTTATAATTCTCCTTGTCCCTAATTTCATTTATAAATGTCTCAGTAAAATCTTTTCCACTTTCAGCAACTTCAGCCATATCCAGAACCTCATCTTTCTCTGTAGAAACAACTTTCATTAACAAACTTGCCATCATAATGCCGTATTTACATAAATGATTCCATTCGCCTAAAAACTGATCAAAAGGATATAACGTATCAGGCTTTTCTATTCCTAGCTGGACCAAGTGATTCACAAATGTTGTATGATACAAAACCAAAATAACGTCCAACTCTTCTAAATCTTCTTTGGAAAGGCACGCGAATAAAAAGTATGACAAATCCACAATCGGAGAAGCGAATCTTGACACTTGCCAGTCCAAAAATGCGACCTTCAGAGGAATTTTCTCCTCGCCTGTCTAAAAATATAACACTTATCCAAAACTAACTACCTAAATTTTTGTAATGATACCTTATGCAAGAACATGAAGTTGTTATTCCAGCAATCACCGTGCAAAATTACCTTCAGTCCTGTTGACGTTTTAATCATATCTCCAAAAATACTTTCAATCTGATTTTTCAAACCCTTCCACCGTAACAGAATGCTGTCATCTAAATCACCCTTAAGCAACTCACATGACTGATCTATTGGTGTTCCGAACAGGATTTGCTGGTCATTTGTCTTCGTAAATATTTCAATAATATCGATCACAGTGTCAAGAAACTTTTGAAAATCCGTTGGTCGTTGATGTTGTAGAGCCAAAGACGTCGCATGATATTTACCATACTCTGTTACTATCAAATCGATATGTCTTCGTGACAGTGGTTCCTTCCTCGGCCACAGCTCATAGCCGTTGCTTTTCAAATTTTCCAAAACAATGATTTCCATATTTTTTCCAGTAAAAGAGCCGTAACACTTTGGTACACTGTTGAATGGCGCTGCGACTCCTTTTTCTTTCTGGTACTGAATGAAGTACGGCAAAACTTCCTTGTACATGAGTATCTCGTTCAAAAAGGCCTCCTTCACTGGCGATGTTTCGCGCAAAGCTTTGCTCTTTTTGCTACACTTTAAAACGAGATCATACTTTTTTGACGACTGATTGTCAGTAGTTCCTTCAACCGACACAAAAATTATATCACCCATATAACCGTCTCCTTTTTCTGAATTTCCTTGTATCTTAACTGAAATGTCCTTGAAATTTTCATCTTTTAGCGCGACCTCTAGCCAGGACCGTATTTCATTTTCAGAAGTATTGTTCGTTGAGGCCATGTTAATATCTTTTAAACACTAATTACTTTTTAAAAGCGTAAGATTTTTTATTTGTGAACAAATAAACCTGATTGTAAACTGTGATGAACAATGAATACTACCACTTAAATGCTAGTCATATTTTCGTGAGATAACACCAATCTGATAACTTCCATAAGTATGTATGATACACTTTAATTTATGGTAGATAATGTTCTCATCTGATGGAATTCTACCATTTCCCTATACGAAAATTATGAGAGAGCTAGCCATACTTTTGTTATAAAACGGCAAGTTCTGTTATAGAATGCAGATGCGCAAAAAGTTGGGAATATCTTCGTTGAAATGTTTAGATCGATTAATTGGTATGTGTATGATTAAAGTAAAGATAAGTGTTCTTCTTTCTTAATTTACTCTTTGTGTGGTGGTTTTTGGTATTGGTATGACCTTTAGATCTAAATCAAGTTAGTACTGAGTATACATTTCAATGAAGTATGTCTTGGATAGATTTAGTGTTCTAGTGTAGAAGTTGCTGTTGGATGTTTATAATAGTTATTTTTCTACCGCCCACGTTTTTTGGTTTTCTAATAGAGTTATTAACGCACGCAAATGACGTCACAGCAGTTCGTTAATAGCGGAAAGGCGTTCTTTAATAGATCTGGTGTAATTTAGATCGGTAAGATTGGTAGCAATGACGAGAAATGTCAGTGGCAAATCTAAACTTAAAATTTCCCACGTTTCCAGACGCGTAACTTCTTCGCAAGATATTTTAACCAATTTTAAATTACGAAAACTCCAATTGATTCGAATTACAATTGTTGTTGTGAAAATTCGAACCTCAAATATTTCGTGGTTAGTGTCAGACCAACCCATCACCAACCACGACAAAAGTCCCCAGCTTAAAAAAATGCAAATTTTAATTAAATTTTGGGAAAAAACGTGTGCGGTAGAAAAAATAGTATAAATAACTCGTTCATAAGGCCATTGAGGCACTCATCCTTTATATAACTCGCGGCTTCGCCGCTCGTTCTATAAACTTGGATTCGTGCCTCAATATTTGCCTTATGAAACTCGTTCTTTAATATACTATTATATTACAAGTGGGATAGAGGCATCATTATAATTACGAGCACGAGTCTAGAAAAGGCACGAATATTATAAGGCTCCTATACGTGTGCGATTTAACTTCGCTTGACTTTTTTCTTTGGCCTTACCTGAAAGACCCAATTTATCAAACACCTGTGGATGATTTAAACGAGCTTGCCCACCGAATCTCACAGAAATGGAAAGAAATTAAAAATTCCCAAAACACTATGCAACATGTTCTCGTCGAAGTTTGCAGCACAGTTCGTATATGCCTTACAGGAAACGACGACTACTTTCAACATTTGTTACAATTTTATTATCTAAACCGTATTATTAAATTTTTTGGTTTTTTATGCATGTTCCTTATTATTTAAAAAAAATATTATCGACATGACTTCAATAAGATTGTTTGTTTTATCGCTCTGAGTGATGGGTTGTCTAGAATAAAGGGGCTAAAACAGCCAGAGACGATTCCATAGCGGCAAAAGTTCATTTTATTAAGACCCACCACTGACCCGGAAATGATCGGCATTCAGGCAAGACTTCCATCATTACGGGTACTAAAACCAAGTAATGATATGCATTGATTAGATTAACAAAACAACTTTCGAGATTCTAGAATTACAGCATCCAAATTAGTCTGCTATTATTCTCTAATCTCACCCCATCCCCAAAAGTCTAGCGTAACTACCGATCATTTATCCGCGCATCACTTGGAAAGTGACCTACACTACTCTAACCTACTGGTACTAATCTAATCTGACTGACATCATCAGACTGTTCGAGAAACTTACGAACAATATGACATGTTCCTAACAAAACAGCTTTTTGAATTTTGACAATTATTGAATCATTCAAATGCAAAGTCTTTAAATTCTCAACTAAGCTATTTGGGACTACACCTACATTAGAGATAACTAAGGGTAGAATTGAAATTTTTTTAAGATTCAACATGGATTTCATTTCTATCGATAATTGTAGATATTTTGAAATCTTGGTGTGGTATGTTTGAATAATGTTGTTTGTGTTAGGAATAGCAATGTCATTGAGAATTATTCGTTCGTGTGTTTTTTTATAAGTATGATGTCTGGTCTGTTTGCTGTAATGTTTAAGTCTGTAAGTATTGTGCGATCCCAGTATAATTTGTATTTGTTATTTTCAAGGAACGGAGATGGAATGTAAAGTGTAATAGGGTGTCGTATCTTCGATTAAGTTCATAAGTGTTGCTAAATCTTTGTGAATGATTTTGGCTGCGTTGTCGTGTCTATCTTTGTAGTCAGTTTGTGCCAAAAAAAAAGAAACAAAACAAAAACTGAGAATATGATATTGTTAAACAAATTAAGCCAATCACAAACCAATAAAATTATTATAATATTTAATATAACCAACAGTTGAATTACCCGTGGCGGCTCGTGAAGTTTTCTTCAGTGGAGGCTCAAATTTGAAAAGCACTACTTTTTATATCTTTCATTACCTGAATATTTTTTTTGTCATGCCCACGAAAAGAACACTCCTACGTTGATAGATAAACTATTGCATCGATTAGTCTTTTCAAAATTGCCCTATTTTTACCAACTTTCTCGTTATAGTTCTCAATATCCCTCTTATGAGCGGAATCTAAAGTAGTAGAAGAAAATTTATGTTCCTGTGATTTTTCATGTCTTTCTATTGCTCATGACAAATTTTGTAAATTATTATAGCCTGTTTTATCCCAAACGGAAGATTTATCACTTGTGAATAATACACAATTCCAACAGTATAATTTGTTTCTTAAAAAACCGAAGCCGTTAACCACTTAGTTTTATTATAATTGTTTTCATGAAATGCTCTGTTTTGCTTTCTACCTGTCATTACCATTAATGGGAGTGGTGGTGTTGGTCTCCCCTTTTGTTTTATAGCGATCTTTTTATCACAATCAAAGCTACTAAATTCATTTTTTAATAGATAATTTAGGTATCTGCACATGAGACTGAATTATTTTCGTTACTCATTCTCGTTAAGTAATAATAATAATAATAATAATTTATTTTCATGCTTCACTTCACATTACAAATACATGTAATAAGTTTGCAAACGTCAAAAATAAATACAGTTTTATACATAGTGAAAATAACTATCACAATTTCACACATTAAAATAACAAACATTTTACATACTGAAATAGCTAAAAAATTCCTCAAAAGAGTAGAAGCAAATCTTTAGTAATGAATTTAAATTTATTTAAGTCCAGATTTTTATACTTAGTAGGTAACACATTATAGAAGTGAACTGCATGGTATTTATGTGCCACCTGTGTCCTTGTTAATCTCGCGGCTTCCAAATAAATTTTATCTTTGTTCCTTGTATCATGGTGATGCATATCAATGTGAGCATTGAACTCTTTGATGTGTTTTCTAATGTACAAAAGACATTGATAAATAAATAAACTAGGCAACGTCATGATTTTGAGTTTTTTAAATGCATCTCTGCAATCATCCCTGAATTTGAGACCACACATTATTCGAACTACACGTCTCTGGAGCGCAAACACTTCATGACGAATACTCGCGTGCCCCCAAAGTAACAAGCTTCACAGCAAGTTTGATTGAAATAATGCCATGTAAGATGAACGTATGGCATTATTTCAAGTATAAGTAATATTAATATGCCGATAATACCAGCTATTTTTAACGATCAGAAATAAAACGCAAATAGATGATACAAAAAACACCTTAGGCTTTACGTAGGTACTAAAGCCTAAACACCACTCACCACTGAATAGGGAGCACGCGAAACCACCTCAATGTTTTTCCAATTTACACCCGATCGCGCCAATTAATAAGAAAGAGATAAAATTATCCGTGCGACTTGATCTGAAAAGAGATGAACTAGCCGGAGGCTAGCGACCTGAAGCGGCACCCCGATCAACGTTTTAGCCAATGCAGTACCGAATGACGATGCGTCAAGGTTGCGGTCTCAATAATAAGATGCATTATCGGCGGAGGCTAGCCTTTATCACTGAAGCCAAACGCGGAGTGGTGTGAATTATGATTGTAAGGGCGCAAATATAATTTTTTTCGACATTTTAACCTGATATCTGATGAAAGTAAATTAAATCAAACAAAATATTCTGAAAAGTAACAAATGTCTACAAAAATACTAATTCTTTCATCGAAAAAATTAGAGGAAGTTCAGCTCCAAAAAACAGAGGAGGCTCAGCCTCCCCTGCCTCCTCTGGGGAGCCGCCACTGTGAATTACTCAATTAGAACTACTATTATACCGAATATTTAACACTACAAAGATACTATTTAAACATATACCACTCAATTATTGGATAACTATAATGAATACAAGTCTTAATAGATATACTCTCTAAAAGAATATTAAGGAAGACATAAATGACCAAACATAACAAATAATTATTACGGACTGTAGACAAAAGGATAGCACACCTAACACAAGTTGGTAGAAGCAGTTAGCACAAATGTTAGCCAAACTGTCATAAAACATGTCGCATCCATAAGAGACACAATTGAAATTTTTACAACTCACAAACAGTGGACACTTCCTTCCAAGATTGGTCATACAGCGACGAGTTTTAAAAACCTGATGCCGTGAATTAAATCGAGGAACTAAGAAATACAGTTGTTGCATGAGTCCTATACAATCTATACGGTCATGAACAAGATTATAGACAAATTTAATAGAAGCAATATCTCTCCTCTCTTTCAAAGAACTTAGCTTAAAACGATTTAACAAACTTGACTCAACAACACCTCTCTCAGGATAAGTTCCAGTTTCAACAAAGAACAAAAACTTGAGAAATCTTCGCTGGACCTTCTCCAACGCCAGAGACTGGTAAGTGTATATTGGATACCATGCCAAGGAGCAGTATTCCAGTTTAGATCTGACTAAACAAAAATATAGGAGTTTAAGCACTCTTACATCTTTAAATGGCTTGCCATTTCTTATTACGAACCCCAATAATTTATAGGCTGAAGATGTTATTTCTGTAATGTGACTCGAAAACGAGAGTTTGTCATCATACAGAATGCCTAAGTCTCTTACCATCGAAGATCTTTTGGCAGGAAAATTACAAACCTGATAGTTGAATTGGATCTTAGACTGCTTTCTGGAGTAGGACACTATGGAACACTTGGAAGGATTCAACTCCAGACCATTTTGTTCACACCCTAAGTCAATTTTACGTAAATCATCCTGTAGAGCAAGACAGTCATCAATAGTGTTAATCGTTTTTGCCACCTTAGCATCATCCGCAAATAGTGATATAAACGATTGGGAAACCATTTCAGGAAGATCATTAATGAAAAGGACGAATAAGAGTGGCCCGAGCGTGGAACCCTGAGGTACGCCAGACCTTTGAAAGTAGGATTCAGAAGCATAACCCTCAATAACAACACGCAGAGGACGGTCTGCTAGATACGAACTAAACAGTTTTAGCAAAGGTGTAGATATACCAAAACACTCCAACTTGGACAAAAGTCTTGTATGTAATACCTTGTCAAATGCTTTGCTCAGGTCAAGATAAACGACATCCACTTGGTTTCGCAAATCCAATGATTGTGACAAGAATTCAGAAAACTGTGCTAAGTTTGTTAGAGTTGAGCGACCGGGTATAAAACCATGTTGATGTTCAGAAATCTGTGATCTAAGTGACATAATCAAACGACGGTGTAAAATGTATTCAAACATTTTAGAAAAATTAGGCAGAATTGAAATGGGTCTATATTTAGAGATGTTATTGCGATCACCGTCCTTAAAGATCGGTACCACTCTTGCTTCCTTCCACACTTCCGGAAAAGTTGTTCTGTTGGGCAAATAAATATATATTATTATTATTATTATTATTATTATAAAAGTTGTATCCAGAGAAAGATTAAAGATAAAGTGTAGAGGTTCCGCCATTGCGTAGATGCAATCCTTAATTAAAAATTCCAGTATAGCATCACAACCAGCACACCTGTTCCCCTTAAGTCTTCTACCAGCACCAATTGCCTCATCAATCGTGACCGACGTTACAGCACAGCATGACACATCTCGAACTATTGTTTCAGAATGTCTATCGTCTGGGGAATTAAATACATTGGAGAAGTACTCAGCAAATCCAGCAGCAATTTCTTGCTGTGTTTCAAGACGCCTGTCGAGGTAGGTCATTGATTGAGGCATACAATTGCCACCTCTTTTGCCACATAAAAGACCAAAACTGTTTAGGATTTTCCTTCGGGTTGTCCTTAATTTTATCTAAATAGGCTTGATAATGTAGTCTTTGCTTTGTCTTACATTGTTTGCGTATTTCAGTAAACTTGGTGTAAAAAATTGGGATTTATTTATTTTGTATCGCATAAAGAGACGATTTTTACTTAATAGCATTTTTTTTAAATCAGGCGAGAACCACACAGGGTACTTTCTTTTACATTTTTTTCATTTTAGGGACAAACTTATCCAAAACTTCATACAGTTTGGAATAAAAGAAAGCACAGGCTGCGTTCACATTAGTCTGTTGTCGAAGGAAGGACCAATCAACATTCTGAAGGGCTTCATATAGAGCGGTAAAGTTAGCTGGACCAAAGTTATATTGTTTAACGTCATCATATAGTTGAGTTTTGAAGAGTTTGAAATGTTTCATTTCTAGTGAAATAGCTAAGGATGGATGATAGGGGTCTTTTATTTGAATATATCGTTCCAATATTTGCATTAGTCATTTGAATAAGAAATGTTTGATCATCCGTTACTTGTTGTTTTCTTACGGTTGTAATTTTTCCCTATTGGAGTTGTTACTGGCATATAGTGTTGATACTGAATTTTGATGTTGAGTTGTTTTATGGAGAATCAGTGTTTAACTTTTTTTATCCAAAGATCTACAGCTTTTTTTATTTGAACGGCTGATTTATTGACGTTATTTATTTTTACCGTACTAAATGTAGGTTGAAATTTTTTCACATTGCAATTATAGCAACCAAATTATTGACGTGGGAAAGTTTGATTCGTGTGTAATTTCTCTTGTATAATTGAATCTTTTTAATAGTCTGAAACAAATTTTTGAAACTACTTATTTCAAAAAATTGCAAATTATTATTTCAGAAAATTTTACTAGGGGCAAGTCCCCCTTATTGGACCAGTGCCTGAATTGAACCACCCTATTTTTTTTTAATCTAGAATAGTTGCCGACATCTAGTGCATATTATTCGAAAGTATTTGGTGCCAAAGCAGTGTTGTGCAAAATTCCATTCTGTAGCGGTAAGTGTCTGCTTGTTAAATTGCAAAGAAATTTTGCTACCATTGTGATACAACTTTTCGCATGTTTTTGTAAGGATATATAGCCTAAATTATTTCATAAATACAGTGCACAAAGACTACATTGGTCAAAGCGTAATAAAATTAAGAACCTAACCTAGAAATAAATATGTTTTATTTCGTTATAGCGTTTTAACACAAGAAAATAGTAAATTTTGTACCAGCGCGTAAATTGGACCACCTTAGATTCTCCTTATTTGGACCGGTCTAATTGAAGGAGCTCCCGATTTGACCAATCACGTCACAGTATCTAGGCGCGTAATTTTAGAACTTCGTATTACAATGCCCAATAATAAATTTTCTTGTTATAATCTATTAACTATGATTTTATACTAGATGGATGCGGAGATTTCAGGATTGATGAGCACTTTAATCCAAACAATAAGACTGAAAAACAGCTGATTACTGAAGTAGAGAACAATACGAAACTAGAGACTGAGGAATTAAGCCTTGGTGATGAAACTGCCACTCTGCATTATTATACACCTCTAGAAATTTCACCTATGCCCAAGATAATTAAGCAAACAACAAAAAGAAAAAGAAAGACGCAAAAAACTACAATATTAACAACGACACCTTACAAGGAACAGTTGGAACAAAAGAAAAAACAGAAGACTAAGAGCAAATTTGTTGATGAACTTAAAGAACCCAAAGCAGGTCCATCTGGTTTGCGTAAGAACAAAATACCAAATACAAAACAAGACGTTATTATAGAGGCCAATATGCAAGAATGGTACTGCTTCCTCTGCGAGGAAACAACGCTGGAAGACATGATTCAGTGCAATGGATGCAAAAAATGGGTTCACGAAACATCTTCAGGAGCTGAATCACGCACAAAGCGTTATTTATGTGATTATTGTACCTAATTATAACAGTATTGTTCAGTTTACATGTAGTTCTAAAACGTTTATTTTTGTTATTATTTTTTAAAATTTAATATTGTTTTTTTTTTCACATTTTAAATAAAATTATGTTCATTTCATGCATTTTTACCAAGAAGGTCCAATTTAAGAACCGGTGGTCCAATTCAAGAATATAGTAGTCCAATTTAGGAACCCAGTCTCCTATTTTGGACCACTTGCAGACCTTCAAAAATTATTTTTTTAACCAATTTGGATGTTTCAAAAAATTCTAAAAAAATTACCGAACATTGAAAACATGTCAAAGTTAATGGCTGAACACTAGATAAGTTAATATCGTATTACATTTTGGTTTTAATTGAAAAAATGTCCCACTAGGTCCGAATGAGGGGACTTTCCCCTAAGTATTATGAAGTTTAGAATTAAATTATAACTGCAGTGAACCAAATAATAGTAGATCCACCAATATCAACGATAAAACTTGCTTACTAAAACTCAACGAAGCACATAGCTGCTCTTTATCATACAAAACCTTTACAACATATTTTTCAATAATTTCCGGAATCAAATTCCATTCTAGCATGCTATGCCACCACATAATTGCATTATGGATATCTGTAGTCTGCTTAAATATTTTTCATTTATTATCACTCTTCTTCATACTTATAATCACACATTACTACATTTGCATTAGAACAAAACTATTTTGTTCTAATGCAAATATTCTTTCATTTGTTGGTATAATATTTATTTCAAAAAATATCCATTACCAAATAATCTAATGATTAAAAAATTAAAATAAGCAGTTATCTCTATTTAACACCCAAGAGGTCACTCTCCTGATAATTTCTTTAATAATAATTAAAATATGACCACAACCTTCTACAAAAAACTGGCAATTAGCCCTATAGTGAATAGCAAGAAAATTTTGAAATTACACCAAAGTGAAAACACTGTGTTCATTATTTATTACTCCTATTAAACATATACACATACATCATATTAAATTATGTTTAACAGCATATTCCACAATTGGCCGAATTCTCCGCTTATAATTCTCCTTGTCCCTAATTTCATTTATAAATGTCTCAGTAAAATCTTTTCCACTTTCAGCAACTTGAGCTATATCCAGAACCTCATCTTTCTCCGTTGAAACAACTTTCATTAACAAACTTGCCATCAAAATGCCATATTTACACAAATTATTCCATTCGTCTAAAAATTGAGCTAAAGGGTATAACGTATCTGGTTTTTCTATTCCTAACTGGACCAACTGATTTATAAACGTTGTATGATACATCACCAGAATATTTTCCAACTCTTCTAAATCTTCTTTAGAAATACAAGTAAATAAAAAGTGTGACAAATCCACAATCGGAGAAGCGTATCTTGACACCTGCCAGTCCAAAAATGCAACCTTCAAAGGAATTTTCTCCCCGCTTGTCTAAAAATATAACTTTTATCCAAAACTAACTAACTAAACTTGTGTAATTATACCTCATGCAAGAACATGAAATTACTGTTCCAACAATCGCCATGCAGAATTACCTTCGGTCCTGTTGAAGTTTTAACCAAATCTCCAAAAATGTTTTCAATCTGATTTTTTAAACCCTTCCACCGTAACAGAATGTCATCATCCAAGTCATTCTTAAGCAATTCATAGGATTGATCTACAGGCGTCCCGAAAAGGATTTGGTAATCACTTCTCTTTACACATATTTCAATCATATCGATCAGAGTGTCAAGAAATTTTTGAAATTCTGTTGGTCGTTGATGTTGAAAAGCTAAAGACGTCGCATGATATTTACCGTACTCTGTAACTATCAAATCGATGTGTCTCCGTGACAATGGTTCCTTCATCGGCCACAACTCGTAGCTGCTGCTTTTCAAATTTTCCAAAACAATAATTTCCATATTTTCTCCAATAAAAGAGCCGTAACACTTTGGTATACTGCTGAATGGTGCTTTGACTCCTTTCTCCTGTTGATACTGAATAAAGTATGGCAAAACTTCCTGATACATGAGTATCTCGTTCAAAAAGGCCTCCTTCACCGGTGATGTTTCGCGCAAGGGTTTGCTTTTTTTGCTACACTTTAAAACAAGATCATACTTTTTTGACGATTGACTATCAATAATTCCTTCAACCGACACAAAAACTATATCACCCATGTAACCATCTCCTTTTTCCGAATTTCCCTGTATCTTAACTTGTATGTCCTTGAAATTTTCATCTTTTAGCACATTCTTTAACCAAGACCGCACTTCATTCTCAGAAGTACTGTTCGTCGAAGCCATGTGAATATATTTTAGGCACAGTTACTTTTTAAAGACGAAAGATTTTTAAATGCTAGTCATATTTTCGTGCAACAAAATTCCTCCGATCACTTTTGTATTATTTATTACACTTAAAATAAACACACTACGCGCAAAACAAGTAATCAAAGAATGGAGACACAAAATTTTTTTTTGAACATGTGGCGTACAGCACACGTCACGATTGTGAATCGAACCTCAAATTATTATCGTTAGACGTTAACTACAACCAAAATAGATGGATGAATGGCTGGCCGACCTTCGATATCTATAATAAAAACATTTTGGTCAATTTTAGGTTCCAGATGAAATCTCACCTAGATGGCGCGAGCGCAACTCATGGGGGACTGTGATTGTTGACTTTGACCAGATACTCAGATATGTATGCTATCCTGTCCTGGCTGTCGTGCCGTGTTGATTTTGTTATTTTACTGGCTTTTAAAGTTGGATCTGCTAAGTGCTACGTCGTGATTGTTGCGTAAGATTTTGAGTGAAAATTACCCGACCAGTGGATGTTTGACGAGCAGAAGTTATGCATTGATATTATTTTTATCTCAAGCCAGTCTGAAAAGTCTTTATTTTAGTAGTGAGGATATTTATAGTGTACGAAATAAAACGACGAGGTTTTAGGGTAATAACTGAAATCGATATCATCCAATTTTAGCTTTAGCTTCAGTTTTAGAACAAAACCTATAAAACAGATACGCCAGTGTTATGAAAATCTAACAAAAAAAAAACAACAAGGAAACATAACAATTAATTTACTAAATTTAGTTACAAAAAGAGGTCAGCGTGACAATTTTCATACCGTATTTTTTAGTGGTCCTTTTACTTTTTTTCCTGCTTTTTTTACATGCAAAACCCATTTTTAATATTAAAAATTAAAAAATAATTTAAACGATATTTGTGCTGCGTGCAGCTTAGGAAGTGACCATTTTTCGTTCTTCCAGTTGGTGAGGGACGTCCAATGTATTTCACTGTCCATCTGCATGACATCGGCTTTCAAAGTTCCCCCAATCACATACTCTGCTTGTTGTAGGAGTGTTAATAGTAATAGTTCTGGAGGTAGAAATATCACATGACCTAATTTTTTAAGTTAATAAAAACATTTAAGTTTTCCACACCGTTCCCGATTATGGAGCTCTTGCAACCTTGACACGTTATATTTTCAGGCGAACGGTCCTTGATTATCCTTGAAATTTAGTCATGTTCCAGCAGCAGTGTCCGCCTATAGAATTGGGTCAACTGAAGATCAATTTCTTATTTTATAATTATTGATAAACTGCCTTGCGGAATTCGGTTCAGTACATTTTCCTTATCATCGACAAGAATTTCGAGTATATTACCATCAGTAACATTACGACCTTGAGTGGCGTTATCAATAAATATCAAGGAATTACCTCAAAGATTTGGGCGATTTGGACCGATTCGACGTTGTTATTTGACACTTCACAATCACGTCGTAATAAAAAAAATCTTCCAGTGGATCCTCATTCATCCACGATATCATTAACTATTTAAAATTTAACTTTTCGATACAATAATTTAATAAGTCCAGGATTGTGTGTCCTCAACCCATGTGTTGTATTTTTAGTCAAAAAATATTCCCATTCGACACACGATTTCAGCAATCGTAAATATAAGTACTAAGAAGTCTTGTAAGACATTGAAAGCGTAGCTTGATTGAACATTGTACTTGATTAACTTTTCGAAGTGGACCAGTCGAACATGACCTGTAGGCATGTGGAACTTTTTTTTTTGTTTTTTTGGCAACAAATCTATTTCGTATGCACTTCAGTATATGTGAAAAATCTGTCACTGCATGGATTGATAATAATCCATGGAGCTTCTGAATTACTTGCATCTAAATGCTTTCACAAAAATGTAGTCCATGCCACTGCGTCAGATGTCAGCACGTTAATGAAGAGTCCAGCTACTCCAAACGAATTATTATTGTTTCCAAAATCAGTTTGGGTTGAACACTTCAACATACATTCTATTTTGAGAGGAAACAACCAATGGCCTATATACAGGCACGTAACCAGCCTTTTATTTTGGAGGGGCCCAGCCCGGGCACTAATTTCAAATAAGGGGGCCTTTAAAAAAAGTCTCCATTAGTATAAATCAACATTTTACTTGGATCACAACCAGTATATAAACTTAATGGGGTGCAAATAGTTGAAGTTGACTAACACCATGAGAATTCATTTAAACCCTGGGTGCCAATCTGCATAGTGTGTAAAAGGCATATCAATTGTATCGGCTAATTGCTTAAAAAAGTTATCGACAAAACTGTTGACAGCAGTATCGCCTTACCCAGAGAGTTATACGAGCCCTAACAACTAAATATTGGGACGACAAATTTTTTTTATAAAAAAATCACCAAACTTTTTAACAAAAATGTAATTTATTTTAGATAAATAAAATTTTAAAATTAATTCGTTTTTCAAAACTGTTAATGTTTACAGCACAACAAAAACTGATTTCTAACTCAAACAGTGACATAAAACTCTAAAACAACGTAACATTTTGTGACACATAGGTAAATATTGGGACACAGCAAATTCAATAATTGGTCACATCTCGTTTTGCCTTAACTGCAGGAATTCTTGCCATCATACTTTCAACTAATTTTCTGCAATACACAGGAGTTGTTACCGTATCCTATACTCGCTAAATTTCCTGTTGAAGATTGACAATCGCTTGTCATGGATGATTTCCTAAATATTTTTTTATTTTACGCCATACCGTCTCTTCTAGATTAGGATCTGGGCTATTCGATGGTCAGGGCAAACATGTATATTATTATTCTTTGTAATAAGTGTTGTAGGTGTGTAATTTGAAGCATCATACTGTTGAAAAATATAAATATCAACAGGATAGACTGCTCCAGTAGTTGTTAATATTTTTTTACAAAGTCTCTTGATATTTCTTTGCATTTGAAATTTCCCTTCCATGAACGTTGTTAACTGGTCTTTAAGTTCCGTTAATAGACATGCACCCCCAAACCATTTTTCCGCTTGCAAACTTGACTGCTTGTTTGAGATAATCCATATTAAAATTCCTTTTTTATTTCGATAACTCTTTTTCGACTATTATCTCACCCAGACATCAAATTTGGACTCAGCGTTAGATATTACTTTTCTCCTATTTTTATTTTGGCCATATTAACCGATTTTTCTTGTGGGCAGTTTTTAATTGTGGTTTTCCTTTAGCCTAAAATAATATAAATAAATAATAAAGTCCATCAAAGCTAGCTTTATTTAAGATTTACAATGTAAAAACCAAGGCCTGATTTGTGTATCCATTCGCGACAATATTGTCTTGAAAAATTTAGTTAGTTATTGCTATTTCAGCAAGTAGTAATTTCTCTTGAAGTACTCCGTCGTCCACTTTTATAAATTTTCATCAGTTGTCGTTGATCACGCGGCTTCACAAGTGGTGGCCTACCGGGCATTTTACCTTTTATTCCTATGGTACCTCTGTCTGCGTAATATTTTACGATGTTTCCCATCGACGACTAAGCTATTTGGAACAAATCTTCACTTTTTCTTATCGATTTTCCCTTGCAGTACTGCGAAATTATTATTTTCAGAACTTTTACTAAAACTAGCCCACCGCTAACTACTTTTTTCTAAATAAAACCAACAGTAGCATGAAATGCTACGATCCCTATAATAATGGCAGCATTTACCAGCTACTACGTTTGTATTTCGATGGTATACTTGGTAAAATTTTCTCGGGTGTCCCAACATTTAAATGTCAGCAAAAATGGCACATTTTTTATTTAGGTGACAATTTTTGCGCTCTAAGAAAATTTATTGATTTGCAAAATACCTCACTCTCTGCCAAAATAGATGACCATGCAAAATTTGCATTTAGTCCAAACGAATTGAATGATATCAAAAATATGTACCGGATTTTTTTGAGAAATTGTCTGTGTCCCAATATTTAGTTGTTAGGGCTCGTATTACAAGATAGGAACATAAGATTACTCATAGCTAAAACTTACTGTTGATCTGAAATTTCGAAATTGCTTTACTTTTAAAATTTCAAATTAATTTAAGGGGGCACCAGGGGTGGCACAGGGTTTTACTGGGTGGCCTGTGCCCCCCCCCAGGCCCACCCTTGGTTACGTGCCTGCCTATATAAGGTACGAGACAAAAAATTATCACGGTGCAGAATTTTTGTCTAAATGTATTAAAAGAAAGTAAAGATAAATGGTTGATAGAGCAATCCCATTTTCACAGAAAACACAAAACTGAACGAAATTTATTGAAAATAAGTAATTTTGTTAACATACTTATTGTGACAAATTATTATCACGCTTAAAAGGCGACTAATTAACTAACTAAATGAAAACTAATTTAAAATCCCAATGTATTTTCCACCTGCTTCTATGAGATTGTAGACGCGTTGGTCATAGAATTGACCAAATGGATAAAGTAATTGACGTCCAAATTCTCCCAAGCCGTCAAGATACCATCTTTCAATTCATTAACTGTTGCGTACTGCTTCCCATCTTTATAAACCTCTCGTACAAGAGAACCCCATACGTTCTCAATAGGGTTGAGATCCGGGTTTTTCGCAGGCCATGGTAGCAAAGCTATATTTTGTCGTTGAAACCACGTTTTCGATGAATTAGACACATGAATCGACGCATTATCTTGCTGAAAAATCACTGCTGTCTTGAAATAGGTTCAAATGTGGTTTGAGGTGCACTTCCAACACATCTTGGTAATCCAGAGAGTCCATTCGATTTGAAATAAATGCTAAGTTAGTATTTCCTGAGCTACTAAAGGTACCCCAGGCCATAACATTGCCACCTCCTTGGACTTGTTTCGACAAGTATTTAGGTTCTTTCCGTAAATCGTGCCAGTAATATCTAAAACCATCAGGATTAAATTTCTTTTCATCTGAAAAAACTGTCTGGAACCATTCTTCATTTTTCGTCTGCATTTCTTTAGCCCAAACACGACGTTTTCCAATATGCTCTTTTGTTAACATTGGTTGTTTCTTATATTTGCCATATTGAACATTTTTGTCATTAGCCAGTACTCGCAAAACTGTTCTTTTGTGAACAGGAAGTCCTAGGGTCCTCTTTATCCTTTGGGACGACATGTTATCCTTTGTAGCCTGAGTCACAATGGATCTTTTGGCACGGGCAGTGAGTTTTTCTTTTCTTCCACAATTTTGTCGTCCATTTTCACTGTATTTCTTCCTTACATACTTGGAGATTGTGGTCCGAACTCTTCTAATCTTCCTTCCTATTTCCGCAAAAGTCAAACTTTGGTCATAGTATGCCTCAATCTGTCCTTTTTCACGTTCTGTTAGATCGTTTTCTTTGCACATGACGAAAGACAATTAATGTAGCTCAGCCAAATATGTTTCGACACTTTGACAGTTCTAACAAACAATTGCATATCGTACAAATAAACAACAATTACGCATACTACGTTTTTCTATATAATTTTTATAAAAAAAATGATGGTCTAAAAATTTCTTGACACAATTGAGTTTTCACAGATCAGAAATTATTTGATGCAAAAATATC